CCCCGCAGACTCCCGGAGCGGGACGCACGGCTCAGCGCTGAGGGGCCCGGGCCACGTGACCGCACCGTCACGTGACGTCGGGCCCGCCCCCTTTTTGAGCCTAGGTTGGCAGGTAGTGGGGCGTCTCCGAGGGGACACGGGTGCCGCTAAAGGGACTAGAGCCCGTTGGCACCGGACGGACTTCCCAAAGAAGCACCACCTCCCCCTCCTCCGACGCCCGTGCCCACGAGCCCGCGCCCTTCCCTGGATCTGGGCCATTACTCGAGGTCCAGGCTCCGGGCTGAGGCTAGGCCGCGGCGGGAGAGGACGCGCAGGCAGACAGGCCGTGGGCTCACCACGCTGGCTCTGAGAGTGCTCTGAGGATACCCCAGGGCTGGGATCATTATTCCATGAAAGAACAGCTGGAGATAGACCAGCTCATTGCAAACAGCTCAACCAAAAATAATCATACAGCCTGTGTCACTTAACAAGCAGCAATGCTGCAACCTCACCTCACAAGAAAGTAGGAGCTCCCTCTGCTCCGCACCCCTTTTTGAGCCTAGGTTGGCAGGTAGTGAGATCTTGGCTGGGAAGAAAGGGAATAGTCAAAAGAGTTGGGGGCGGGTGAGCTTTTGTCTTTATGGCGAGTTCACTTTTTGGTGAATGTTGGAAGACGTTTTCTCTACCACTCACATTGCAGAGCCAATTTTTTCACCTGAGGATATTTTCCCATTGATTTTTAGAGAGAGTGGAAGAGAGAGGGAAAGACAGAGAGACATGTCAATGTGAGAGAAACACATGGATTGGTTGCCTCCTGCAGGTGCCTGACCAGGGACTGGGCTGGGGAGGAGCCTGCAAGCGAGGTACATGCCCCTGAGGGAATCGGACCCAGGACCCTTCAGTTCGTAGGCCAATGCTCTATCCACTGAGCCAAACCAGCTAGGGCCAGAGCCAGTTTTAACATTTTTTTTGGATCTCAGGCTCCTGGTGTGTGTGGTGTGTGTGGAGGGGCGGGGGTGGGGTTGTGGGGGTAGAGGTGGATGTTGCCAGGCTGTCCATCATGGTTTGGTTGTTGGCGGAGCAGAGGCTCCCTAGGCTCATTGAAATTCTTTTCCTTTCTTGCCTTGCCCTCCTGGCAGCTCTGGCCGGTTCTCAGTTGTTCTCAGCTCCTTCCTTCTAGGAGGGACAGCTTTTCTTTCTTTTCCAGCTCTCTCTCTTCTCACCACTGCTGCGGTAACCTCAGCACTGGGTGATCATGGTAGAGAGGCAGTATTTTGGGCACCTCCAGTGGCCTCCTAGGGAGCTTTGCTAATTGTGGCTAAGTGCAGTAATGCGCAATGCCATCTCTGTCCTGTGGTCAGGGAATGGGAACCCATTTCAGTCTTACCAGAAGAATAACTGCTGCTGTCACAGTAAAAGGTAAATGATGTAATACCTCTCGGAACTAAGAAAAATGCTTCCGGGATAACTCCAACAAGAAAAATTATAAACATCATCAACATATCCTTGCTATGGCCACAGTCTCTCTTGGTGCACCGTGTACTGAAATGCTGGGTGACTTTGGGCAAACTGCTTATCCACTCTGGATTTGTGTTCTTTTTCCTTTGTGAAATAAGGGCTAAGCATTAGAATCACATGGGGAAGTTTAAAAAAAATTCCCTGCCCCTAGACTAATTAACTAAGTCTCAGAGGAGTGGAGCCCAGACATAAGTATTTTTTTAAAAAGTTGTTCTGGTGGTTCTAAAATGCATCAAAGGATGAGAATCACTAGACTAAACCATATCTGAAGCCATTTCAAACTTTGGCATTTTCTCATTTTGTGATTCAGTTACATAGTTGAACACTGACTTTAATCACATCTACTTGCAGGGGGTGGAGAAATGACTGAATTAGAATAAAACGTCCTTTTTGAATTTTCTGAGGATGAGTTGAGGGTTACTTTCATTCATTCAGCTATTTGCAGAGTAGCATCTTACTTCCTGGGAGATGTGTGAACATCAAAAGATTAGGGAGTGAATTGGTTAAGTGGTAGCATAAAGCAGAACATTGTGTCAGAATAAAGATTCTGAATAAAAGTGCTGGATACTGTGCGTGTATCTATGCTTATGTGTGTACTACTAGAGGCCTAGTGCACGAAATTCATGCACAGGTAGGGTTCCTAGGCCTGGCTGGCCATCAGGGATGATCTGTGGGGCGACCATCAGGGCAATCAGGGGGCACCCACTGGCACCTGCCATGGCTGGCCTGGGGCCTGTGAGCTGGGGGCAGCTCCTGCATTGAGCATCTGCCCCCTGATGGTCAGTGCACATCATAGTGACCAGTCATTCCACCCATTGTTTTGCTGTTCGGTCGATTTGCGTATTAGGCTTTTATTATGTAGGATAACTTCTTTTTCCAACATTTCCTGAGTACTTACCATGGGTCAAGCACTTTACATGTATTAATTGATTTAATCCCCAGAACTATCCTGTAAAGTATTATAATTATCACCCCCCAGTTTGCAGATGAAGAGTTCCAGATACAGAGCAGTGAAATAGTGACAGAGCTCACAAGAAGTAGAGGTCGGCTACACATCCAGGCTATTTGGTTCCAAAGCCTGAGTGGAACGACTGCTCTGTGCTGCAGACACTGTGGGAGAGGCCCTGGGACGGGAGGCCCTGTCTGTTGCCACAGGCCCTTCTAGCTCAGACCTCAGGTGAAGGGAATCCTGGCAGGGGGGGAGTGTTTGGGAAGAGGCTCCACTCCAGAGAACGGCTGATCAATAAAAGCGGGAAGAGTGAGAGCATCACAGGGCAGCCTCTCCTGGCCCTCCCCCCACCTCCACCCTGGCTCCTGCTTCTAACTGCAGTGAGCAAGCAAAATAGAGGCAGACGGGAACATGCCTGGTGTCTCACTCCCAGAGTTGTGGAGCCTGGGAAAGAAGGGCAGGGGTTGGAAGAGGAACCAGAGAACGATGACTTGAGGGGCATGAAACAGAGGGCAGGGGCTAATGAGGGTGGTTGGTATTGGGGGCTTCAGTGGTCAGTCTGTGCATGTTAAGAATAGGCTGACACAGGGAGTGTGCCAGGCCCATCCTGTGTTACCCTCACCCTGCTTGGCACAACCGTCTGACATTTTCACAATCAGCAGAGAGATTGCCAGTATGCTGCAGACAGAAGCCCCGCCCTCTTCTCTCGCATACTGGCAGTTCCTTTGCCCTAGAGCTGGACAGAGGACGTGGCTCCCGTATCTGGGGCCTGCAGCTTATCTCTCCAGGATCATCTCCCAGCTGCTCTTTTGCTGGGTCCTTCTTGCTGACTGTCCAACCGTAGTTTCCGCTGCAGTTTAAGCTCAGCCCCACTTGCCTTTGGTAGCGATGGAGAAAAGTTGCACTGTAACCGGAGAACGAGTCTTGATATTTGAAATCTCTCTCTGCCCACCGCTCCTTACAATTTCCCACCCTGATTAGTCTCCCTGAGGATGAGTGGGTGTAACTCCATGCTCTTTTTCTCCACTCCTTTCCCTGCTCTTTTGAGGTCTCTTTCAGAGTTAGCTTTAATTAGCAAGCTCCAAGCTGGCTCACTGGGCTAAACTGTAGGGCCGGAAGCTGCTGGGGTTGGGGTTGGTGAGGACTGAGGGAGGGCATGGCGTGAGTGGAGAAGCTTCTCAAACCGGGAAATCTGGCTGGGCTTCAAGAGGGGGCTGTTGGTGGTGTGGCCAAGTTCCAAATGTTGGCCTGAAGCCAGGGCGCAAAGAAAGGAGGCCCTCAAGTCCGTTTAAATGGCTCCCTGTGGGAAGTGACCTCCTAGTCCTTCTCCCCAAGATCCTCAAAGATGGGAGTGGCCATTTCTCCAGTGACTCCCCTCGATCACATTTCTATTCTTCCTCTCCCAGCCACTCCCATAGTGGAAGCGTTGGCCACAGCCAGAACTCAGAGGCAGGCGGAGGATTCCGGTGCTGGAGAGGCGGCTGGGGTGAGAAAGGCACCACGCTGTGTGGTGAGGAGGAAAAGGCTGACCCTGGGACGTATGGGCCCGGCTCTGCTGCCAGATGAGGTAGAGGGAGTGTGTGTTCTGCAAGTATGTGCCTGAGGGCTGCAAAACAGGGATCCCGATGGAGGGGAAGAAAGCTGTGAGAGGGGAGAGGGGCTGGAGAAAGCCCCAGCTTCCACTCAGACAATCTTCGCTGAGCCTGGGCATTTATCAATTTTCAAACTTATTTTGAAATAGCTGTCCACTCAGAGGAAGTTGCAAAAATAGTACATGAAGTCCCGAGTACCCTTCCCCCAGTGGTGATGTCTTACATAGCTGTAGCACAATATCTAAACCAGGAGGCTGACATAGCTACGATGCTATTAACTAGTCTACAGGCCTTATCCCATTGTCGCCAGTGTTTTACATGCATTCATTTGTGTGTGTGTGCATGCGCGTAGACTACTTCATCTTACGTGAAGTCTCAAATAACCACCACCAAAATCAAGATACAGAACTCTGCCCTAGCTGGTTTGGCTCAGTGGATAGAGTGTTGGCCTGCAGATCAAAGGGTCCTGGGTTCAATTC